AGGAAAGAGGGCTTGGAGAATCTGACACTCACAGGAGGGACAGCAAATCAGCAAGTAACTTACCTAACAAACTTATGTAAACAACAGTATAGGAATTTGTGAGAGATAACGAAAAGACAAAGGTTACTAAGTGCTACAAAGGATAGGAAGTTGTGGAGAACCGTGATAACCCATATCCTGAATGGACACATCATGCAGAAGAAGACTGATTTACCTCATGATAAACGGTAAACATTATTAGTAAATTGTTGAAGGAACCAAAAGAAACTAAGAGATTGCCATTATTTTGTTATTGGTGGAGGTCCCATTATACAGAATAAGTTTACTATTGATCTTGAATGAAAGCAAATAAGTAAAATTTTGAAATGAGTTTTAACATAGTCAAAGCAATTTTGCTATATTCTCTGGATTCACTGGTTCTCTTTCTATCAAGTAATAACTTACAACAGCAAATCAGTTTTGACTTGATTCAATGACAGAAAAATATAAAAATAAGGTGAGATGAAATAGAAGCTTATTCTTTTGAAAATGAAATTTTACTTTAGAAAAACAAAATTTACAATAGAGGCTGGAACTAGCATCAAGAATGAAAAGTTAATCAAAGATTACAATATAAAAAGGAGACCAAAAATAAAACTGATTCAAAATAATGAAGGAAGCCAAGTACTATGCAGAAAATGTTGCTGAAAATATGTAAAAGAACAAAAGAAATGCAGAAGAAACTTGTTTCAAATATTTCTATGTAATAGCTTTAATACCTGCCATTCCTCGGTTTGATCAGTCAACATTGTTATTGTTGCTATTAATATTATTGAGAATCATGCAACTAATATCTCAATTTTATTTCCTCTGCTTTGTATTTTATTCATTTGGGAGTGATATCAGTTTTTCTATTAAGTTTTGCAAGCATCCATTTTCCTTCCTTCATTTAATTTGTTCATTTTGATGCCATTTTTTTTTTCCATCAAATCCTGACCCTTTAATTTTTCTTGTTCATCTTCTTTCAATCTCAGAAAATATTTGTTTGGTCAAATGTCAAGGTGGTATTTCATTCACCAACTTAATCCTACCATTATCAGCCATCCAACTTTTGTATGGATAAGCTGTTTATACAATGCACAATTTTTTTCAAAAACCCACACTTAATTTATCAGTGATGGCTCTGTGAAGCCCGACACAATAATGTCTATTGGACTCTTACAGGAAACTTGAGATAAGAAATCTAGCTTCTTTGAAAATTATCTTTTTATAGGAAACTTTTATATATATATATTTCTAATATTTTGAGTTAATGTTATTAAATCTGCGATCTTGCAAAAGGGCATGACATTACTTGAATTATACATTTATTACTGGGAGTGGACAATGACATATCACTATTATTTTCAAGTTATATCAGTAAAGGAAATAACATTTGTTTAACTACTACAAAATTCGTAAATTCTGTTGTTTTTTTTTTCTAACACCCTAAAGCATTATTGTGTTTGAATCCTTCTTGACTAATATCTTCATCTTGGTTGTTATAGTTGGTGTATTCTCCAGCCTTCATTAAATCTTTGATTTCAAACAAAATGAAAGAACTCATACATATAGATTAACACACAATAAAGATAATTTCAAACTACAGACCCAGTGTGATTTAAGAACAGAGACCAAAGACTATAACATCCAAGATGAGGATATATTTGAATTGATTAATGCACAATAAAGATAATTTCAAATCTTAGAAATCATCAGATTCATACAGGCCCAGTCAGTGTGATGTAAAAATAGAGACAAGACTATAATGGCAAGATGACGATATATTTGAATAGATTAATGTGCAATAAAGATAATTTCCCATCTTGAAAATTGAAATAAATTATCTTATGGAACATGTCACATACAAGATTTTAACGAAAATTATGGGATCAATATTATTCAGATTGATATCTATGGAAATAAGCTTCTCTATTTTTTCTTGCTGCAATTTTCAGGTAATTTTTTTTTAGTTTTCATTCTTTAATTGAAATCTTTACTAACAACAGTAACAGCAATATTTCAATTATTTTAAGAATGGAGGTAAATACTTCTTTTATTGACTATGTTGAAATTAAGTAGTGTGTTTTTTTTCACCTTAGCCTAAAATTTGATTTTCATAACTTATTTATCTGAACTGCCTGTTTTTGGACAGATAAATGTACACATACTCACAAGAGCAGACAAAATCAAATTGTGAATTAGTTTATTACTAAAATCTGTCAATGTAACTACTTTAATGCAACCCAATATAAATAAAAATTCCATTTCAATTAACCCCTTCATATAATCTACAGACAGAAAATGAACAATATCTTGCATTTATTTTATTGAATTTCATGCTCAAATTGATTTTAATTTTAATTAGATATAAACATTATTATTGCAATAGGAAGTATATAATTAAGGTAGATACTACCTTAGGAAGGTATGTTGGAGTAATGGATTGTGACTTGGATTGTGGAATTGGAAGGCCGAATTCAAATTCCAGTTGAGTACATTACATTCACTTACATGCTAATAACCTTGGAAAAGGCATGAATCCATCTCTTCTCCCCCCAGCTATGGATAAATAGCAGGACAGACTGTGTTCTATAGCCTTGAGTGGTAACAAGCCTAGGAGAAGGAAAAAACTGAATTCAAAACTGAATATAACCCTAGCTAAGCACATACTATGCAGCTAAGGAAAGGCTCATTTGCATTGACTCGATGATCCTGACCATGGTCAATTCCTAGATATTACCTTAGCTTGTATAGAAGGAGGTATAGCAAGATCAGAAGAGTCCAGTGGTTTTTCTAAACTGCCTCCTCAATTATGCAATTCTAAGATTTTTATTTCCAGAGTGATGAAAAGATGTTTGTATTTTTAAAAGCAAATAAAAATAGAATCAAAACAAACAAAATATTAAAGTTTTGGTCACACTGTTTTGAGAATTGTACTAAAACTACTTATACTCTCACTTAATACTGATCTAAAAGCCTAAAGGGAAATAGTATTAAACTAATATGCTGTAATTCCTTATTTTTAGTACCGTATATACTCACGGATAGGTTGCACTTTTTTACCAAAAATTTCACAAATTAGGGGTGCAACCTATTCCCTTGACATAAATGTAAAACATCACTACCATGTCATCATGATTTTCTGAGAAATTGGAAATGATACCCATAAATAAGCTGTGTATTCAGTTCTGAATGAATTTTAAAACTGTATCTTGATATATAAATAGATAAACACTTTTTTCTAAATGTACCATAAAATTTTCTTATCTAGTTATATATGCGGTAAATATAAAAAAATACTAGTACAACAGTTACTTCCTTTTATTTACATGATGATTGACGAAATGTATTTTAACTGCAAAAGTGCATTAATAATTGTAAGTTTTGAAATAAAGGTAGAAATAAAGGTAGATATCTGATAATTCTTATGTTTAAAAAGGGGGGGCTGTGTAACACCCCAGATTATGGTGCAACCTATCTGCAAGTCAACAGTAAATCATCTATTTTTAAGCCATAAAGTAGGTACATACAGTAACTTATTAATATGTACTCATGCTACACATACTACAGCTAATCCATAATAAATGTATCTTTGGTAAAACATCATTTTAACAACATTATCATTGTTAGTTACTTATATGATCAGTATATATAATATATATAATATCTATACTATATCTACATAATATATATATATATATAATATATATATATATATAATATCTTTAAAAATAGCATGCAAAACATTTGCCAATCCTTACACACACAATAGATCACATGTATTCCATTTTTTTACATTGTTTTGTTTTCTTATTACTATTATTAGTGAATTTATCGGAATATTTCTATTTATTGGGGAATGAAAAATTGTTTCATTTATTAAATAAAAATAAAAGATTATTTGAAATTTTTGCCATTGACATCTCTGAATAATCTATCTATAGTTTTGTTTCAATATCTTTGCTAGCTTCATAATTCCACTCTTTTAAAACTTTCTTAAGCTTTTGCAGTCTTCCAGGAAAACTGAATTTTTTTAAAAAAATTTTATTTTCTAATAAAGACAGCACTTGTTTGAATCAATTGTTTTGTTTTCTGTAAGGTGTCCATTTCTCATCTATCTAAACAGTATCACCTTCTTTGGATGAAAAGTAGTTTTTAGTACAGTTAGTGGTTGTTCATTTCACTTACATCACAATCCCCTTGTTACTGTGAAGTTGTAACATTTCTACTAAACACATACTCTCCAGTAGGTTTATTTTTAATTAACTTGTGTGAGTGCCATGAATCAAACCACTTTTATACTGATGATTTAACATGTTTGATTTGGATTTAGTCATATATAACATTGATTATTTTCAGTTAATGTCTTGATTTGGTCACTATCATTCCTAACTGGTCTACAAAACAAATCTTTATAAACCTCTTTTTACATGATTGAACATTCACACAGCCTTCTCCTTCAACTGAACAATTTTTTAATATAAATATTTGAGTCAAATTTCAATTTCCTAGAAGACTGCAAAGAAAGAGTTTTTTTTTTTGAGAAAGATAAAAAGTTGTGGGAGGATGGAATTATGAAGTTGTCTGAAAGTTGGCAGAAGATAGTGGAATGAAACAGTAAATATGTTTCGCAGTCATTAATTTTGAAATCAAAACTGTTTTTATTTTTACTTAAAAAACCCGAAGGATGTGTAGCTGTGATTGATTGGTTGATTTTTCTATGACTTATCAACACTTTGCAGGTTATTTAAAGCCAGAAAATTTCTTTAGATTTTAAGAATTTGGGGGGGAAGATAATAATGATTTAGTGATACAAGTCTTACTAATTAACCCATAGCTGGGGAAAAGAGGTGGATTCATACTTTTCCCAAGGGTATTTGTGCATCAGTGAATATAATGAACTCAAATGAAATTGGAACTTGGGTATTTGCTTAAGAATTCTGAGCCATTATCCATTGCACCACCTGAACATCCAAGCTTCAGCACATAGTATTCCCAAGTGGTCACCCATCTAGGTACTGACCAGGCTCGAAATTGCTTAATTTTGGTGATCATATGGGAACCAATGTTTCATCTTTATATAGCCATAACCTGATGTGCTGCTAGTGTAATGGTTAACAGTTCAAGGAGAAATTGGCAAGTCAAGTTCAAAATTTTGGCCAAGTATATTACATTGACTTTTACACAAATAAAATGGGTAAGGTATAAATGCATCTTCTCCCAGCTATGGGTTAAATAAGAGGGCAGACTGGACCCTCTAGCTATGTTTGACAACCAGTTTATGAAAAGAAAAACTATGAATTTAAACCTACCACCTTGGGGCACAATACAGCTATTGAAAAGGTTATAATTCACAATTAACTGCAGCATAAGGTTGTAAACTGTGTGATCTTGTCTGGGGTCAAATTACAAAAAAAATATGTTGAGCTTTTTGATCAACCCAGTGTTTGTGTGTGTGTGCAAGGTTCTTTACTAAGCTTATCCTTGCCAGTTTTTGCAAAGTTTAGTAAAATAGTTGAACACCCAATAATACTCAAACTTGCTACACTAATAGATGTTAAAACATGTATATGTACCTTCTTTTATTTACCATGTCCCTTCAGGGTGTGATGAATCATGGCTCTCCACAACTTTCTATCATTTGTAGTTTTATACAATGTTTTTCTTTTTACTACCCCTCCAACTCCCTATTATGCCATCCACAAAAGGTCATTCACTAGGTTACTTTATGCTTCTTTACATACCCCTTGCTGTCAGTATGTCCTGTGAGTGTCAAATTCTCCAAGTCATCTTTCCACATTATGTCCCAGAAATTTCCACTCTCTTTCTGATTCTAAATACATGTCTTTTTTCTTCCATTTTCACTAGAACTTCTTCATTTCTCACATAATCCATCTATGGTATTCTTGGTATCCTTCTATAGAACAACATCTCTGTTACCTCAAGTCTCCTCTTCATCTGTGAAGAAATTGTCCAGCATTCACTGCCATATAGGAGGATTGATACTGCAAAGCAGTTTAGAAATATTTTCTTTGTTTCTAATGAAATTTTCCTGTTTCTTAATACTTTGTTTAGCTTTTGGAAGACATCTTTTTGCTATTCCAATTTTTCTTACAGGTAGAATAAAAAAATTCTCTTATAAAATATCTTTTTGATGCAAAGTAGATTGCTCAACATGTATACATCCTTGTCAGATATCTGTTCTCAGATAAAGGAAAAGAAATCTAAATAAATGAATCCAAAAATTAAAAGATGTTCAATAAATATTCATTCCGTTTAAAGGATCTTCAGTGATCTGCTGGTTTTTTTTTTTAATATTCTTTCTAATTTCTTTGACAATGCACTTATCCACACCAGGGAAGCTTTTTGGTCTAATAACTTCTAGGATTAATACCACTTTTATTTTTGTATTTGAAAAATTTCAAAAAAAAAAAAAAATTAAAGAATTCTCAAGATATTTCTTGCATTGTGTAATTAGAACAAAGGCAAAGTGGCATATTCTGGGTAGTTATATCTATTTAGGAATAAAGATCTTTTTTCTTTTCCCCATTTAGCCAATTCTTAACCTACCTCTAACTATATTTGAAAGAGAAAATAAAAATAAGTGTGGTATATGTGTGTATGCCTGTGATACAGTCAGATAGCTGCCATGGAATTAGTGGTATTAAAAGGCTTACATGATCTAAGCAATTTGACTTATCCATTCTCTCTGCAAAATCTTTCTACGTCCTTGATTTCATTCTCTGAAAAGGATGCTCCACTTAACTAGGGTTGCTGTAGGATATTGTAATAAGCTACACAATGTTTAATGCATTTGGCTCTGTGCCAATTTCATAATCCAGGAAAGAAATTATTTTGAACTCAAAAATTTGGGATATTGAGTTGCATTTTTGTGGCAGTATAAATTATCAACCATCTGCTTACTTTATTGGCAATAGTCTATCAAAGTCGATCACTGTTAATCAAAAAACGTCACTCTCTAATGCTTCAACATTGTCAATTTAGACTTGGTAAAGTTCTTCTCCAATTTCTTAAATGAATACAGGATTAAAAAAAATTGCAACATAACTGCAAAGATAATAAACAAAAGAAAACAGAATATGATTACCAAGAACCTAAAATGAAGATCCCGGAAATATGGATTTTCTGTAAATGAATTTCATTTGTAAAAATAGTATAAGATATGTACTGCTTCTGTATGAGGGGTATTGAATTTTATGTATATTTTCAAGATTATTTTTGCTTGTATTTTTTGGATTATTTTTTAAATGATTACAGGAAAGTTTTCAGATAATGTTCGTAAATCCATGTATTCCATATGAAATGGTTTTGTGATTTTTCGTTTTTTCCTTCATTTATTTCTGTGCAAGAAATTCTTGGTTAGAAGTGGAATGAATTATAGATTTATCCGAATGATTATTTAAGTTTGAAGAATGTTTGAGTATATCACATACGTTCTCATTGCATTTATTAAATTTTCATTTTGTTTAACATTTATAAAGAGTTTTCATTTTCAAGAACATTTGGGAAATGTCATACATTTAAAAATTTCTTTCAATACTTTTAAATGGCGACTGATTATCTAAAATCATTATAAGTAACATAAACATGAACTAGTAGTTAGCGTTCTAGAATCAAAATTTTTACGACTAATAGACATGATATGGAGATTATATACAAAATGTTTTATTACTAAATGAACTTATAAGTTTCAAATTAATATTTCAAAATTTACTTTTACATAAAATTTTGTTTATGAAAACTAAGTTCAAAGTTGTATTATATATATATATATATATATATAGGCAAATATATATATATATATATATATATATATATATATATATATATATAATATATATACTTGATTCTATGTTGATTCAACATATGAGGATCAAGCAGATCAGTTCTGAAGAACCAACAGCCAGACACCAGCACATATGATTTGATTATAGTGGTGAAGGTTTTGTGCAGAACAATCCACACTTTTTGAAGGGCCGAATACAGAGACCTGGTGCAATATGTGCCACAATGTCCCCAAACAACCCTCTGCAGGTTTTGAATTCAGAGTTGTCCTTCTCCTAGACCAGATGTCACCCAAGGCTATAGAACCCAGTTTGTCCTGATATATATATATATATATTTTGAACAATAAAAAAATATTAAAAAATTAAAATCTTCAGACACACTGCGTTGTAGATTAATATTCTTTCGTTTTTTTTATCATTATTTCATTTAGATTCCTCAACTAGTTTTGGCCAAAATGGCCATCATCGGGAGAAGAAATATTTTTGCTTGCTGGTAGCAGTAAACTACAGAAATAAATGTCTTGATGGAGAAAATGAACTTTTGTCTGTAGTTGTCATTTGTTTTTTATTTTTTTATCTTTTTAACATGAATCTTTTAACATTCCTTGTGTTGGTCAAACAGTCTCTTTTAAGTTATTATTTGAGATAAGAGCTGGATGGATCTATGCTTCCCTGAATTCCCTTGGTCAGATTGACAGTTTTATTGGTCCTGGAGAGGGGATGTATCTCTGTTTAGTGTTTGTGTGTGTGTTATCATTTGGCTCATTAGGGAGTGAGTGAGTATGATGTGTGTAAGTGTGTATATTCGTGTGGGTGTGTGTATAAGTGTGAGGCCTCAACACCTCCGTAAACATGTCTGTCTTGTGTAGGTGAGAAATGTGGGTAGTTTTTGATTTGTTGAGTTATATATTAGTACTATCTATATTGTTAAATTTATTGTTTAGCCTGGCTGAATATTGTGTTTTTAGACGTTGTATCCACTTATTTTCATGGGACTCTAAAATCTTTCTAATGTTATTTTTTATATATATATATATATATATATATATGCTGCAGGAAAAAAAGTTTCGGGAAACCCTTAAAATGAGATTTTTTTAAACTAAAAGTTAAATTCCAGTAAGCTTAGCTTAGTACAACAGTCATGCATATCGGTCACCTAGTGAAACCATGCTAATTACTGTATTAATTGCTTGTAAGTCTAACATTCTTCAGTATTTACTAAACTTTATGTCTGACACAATGTCACAATTGTTGGGCACTTAATGAGTATTGACCTTATTATTGTAGGAATAGTCAACTATATTAGCTTCATAGCTACTAATTTGCTATATGTTGCTTTGCTGACAGCAAGAGGATCAAATTTCAAATGTACATTGTTTCTCCATTTAATATACTGTATTTAATATAAATATATATTCAGTTTAAATACAGGAGTCATAAAGATGACTTCATCAGACCACACATTCCAGTTTATACTCTTTTCCTGTTATCCAAGGGTTGTTGTCAGACAAAAAATGAAATTAGCATTTGTGACACAGATGACATTTCAACTTCATTCAATTTGTGTGTTTTTATGTATGTTTTAATTCAATGATAGAGCTAAAATAATTCTAGAAAATTTAATTCAATGATACTGTTAGAATATTTCTAAAAAATTCAATGATAGTGCTAAAATATTTCTCAAATTCAATGATAGAGCAAAAATATTTCTCAAATTCAATGATAGAGCAAAAATATTTCTCAAATTCAATGATAGAGCTAAAAATATTTCTAGAAAATTTAAACATAAAAACTTTAAGAAATAATCTTATTCATCACCAAATAATTTCTAATTGTTAAATTTTATCTGATTTTTTCTCTCCAACTTTGATTCTATTGCTTAACCCATATGTAAGCTTGTGTATATATTAGATGGCATGAACTCACTCACACATAACACAAACATCTGTATATACAAAACATACACACATGCAAATTCATGCGCAGACAGCTTTTCCTTTGTAATATACATTGCCCCATGATGAGATGCCCTTAAAACAGAACTTCATGTATTGTGAAAAATGAATGAAAATATTGTTTTTAATTCAATAATAATCTCCATTAAATATTTAATATTTTAATTCTTTATCAGGATTGTTTCAAAATCTGTATTATATGAAAAATTAATTTGTTACGTGTGTAATTGTTCATATAGAAAAGAATTACTTAAACATGACCTTACTTTCTAATGTTAATTGTATTCAACTGAGAACAATGTATTCAATTGAGTCTCCTTCA